ACATATATATATATATATATATATATATATATATATATATATATATATATATATATATATATATACACATACACACAATATACTATATATACAATATTTCTATCGAGCTCTTGCTTCTGCTATTAATTAGCTCCTTCTTGTAAATAAACACAGAACTTTATGTAATGTCCCTCATCTCTATAGAAAACTACTACCTCGTCATCTGCAGAGCATTTACTCTAATCTGGATTAAAATCCCACTTATTTGTGTCACAGTGAAAAAACATGAACTAGTATTGCACGTATAATCTGGATTTTCTTCTAGGCAATAAAGAAGTGCAGAAACTATGTTCGCTGTGTCTTATAATTTTATGATTATCAGTGTTTTTACTGAACCGTTCATTGGAGGCACAAAAATGTATTCTTACAAAAAAATCTTAATCCATCTCAAGATTTATATCTGAGATTTCCATACATGTGTAGTAATCTAAGATCACCACACATATTTTAAACTCAACTCCTGTAAAACTGACCAAGTTGTGGCCAGTTCTGTGTTGGATGAGGTCGATGAGCTGTGGTGGCCATCTTAAATCGAATCTGCTCCAAAAGTTAATTAGCTGTAGATGAATATCTGTTCATTATTGTAAAAAAGTTTTGTTAAAATCTCTTGTGCCGTTCATGGTGTATTTTGCTAACAGACAAAAAGGTCTTACCCCAACTGTAATTACTGAAGTTTTAAGCAAAGGTCTCAGAAACAAAGTAGAAGTATGTTGGAGTATGTGTTGTGAATGACTCTAAGCAATGGATTTTAGCACACAATCTGTAAAATTAATCAAATTATATATTTTGGGGATTTCTATGGTCATTTAGCTGTGGCGGCCATCTTGAATTGGTTTGTTTTCAAAAGGACTACAACTGATTTTATCCTGAGAGCTTCATCAAATCAGTCCAGTGGTTCATCAGATATTCTGGAAACAAACTGGCGGCGGGCCATAAAAAGCTACGTAGAGTACTCACCGCTGATCCACTTGGCCTCGGGGTCATGAGGGCTGAACTCGGGTTTGTACAGATCTTCCACACTCAGCTTAGACTTGCTGCTTTCAGGAAGTTCAGCTGTTTCCACAAGGAACAAAGACATCTTGTTTATTAAGACGGAGTATCACGAAGAAGAACACGAGCCGAAGAGCTGAGACTCGGTCCAAACGCAACGTCCCCAAAATCATTTCCAGAAATCAGCCATCAAAAACCACCAGATTTTTTATTTTATTTAATTTTCAAATTCGAGTAATGCTCAAAGACACCAATTCTGAGCTATCGAAATTTAGAAAAATGGAGCTTTTTAAGAAAATTCAACGTGAACTCAGAGTCCTGTATGAATTTGGTGGTTTGTTGAAGAATGAACTGGTATATTTAAAACAACCAGAACAAAACCTGAAAAAAAGCAAAACAGTAGCTAAAAGCTAAAATTAATAAATACTTAGCTAAAGATTACAAGAAGCAAAATCTAAAGTCAAGTCAAGTCAACTTTATTTATAGAGCACATTTAAAACAGAACCTGTTATCAAAGTGCTTAACAACAACAACAATAAATGAGTAAATTAAAGAGAAAAAAAAAAAATATATATATATATATATATATATACACAATACACTAATAATAATAACTGAAGAATTAATAAAAAGCAAAGAAGCTAAGAAGCTAATGCTAAGAAGGCAAAAATAAAGCAACTTTGCTGAAGCGGATTTAAAAAGGAACAATGTTTTTGTAGGGATTTCAATCTCATTGTATGTTTTGGGGGAAGATTTTGTTCATAAAGTTTAATACAGTAGTCCCTCACTACGTCGCGGTTCATTTTTCCCAGACTCGCTCTATCGCAATTTTTCAAAATAAGAATGGACATGACACACAATTGGCTGATTAATGGATGAGCTACAAGATCGGCATGGAACTTTTATTTAAAATAATTTATTTTAAGTTATTTAGCACCTGCTGCACCTTTGTGCAGCCCACAGCTGCAGGAGAAGCTTCCTTCTGCAGCGTGTCAGATCTCTGCTTTGCAGCGGAGAAGTGGGCGTGGCCGAGAGCGCTGGCAGGTGGCAGAGATCATGACATGCTGTGCTCTTTTAGAGTGTTTAGAGTTCAGAAACATTGTTTAGAATATTGCAAGTGTGTGTGAAGGGTTTAAAACATGGTGGTATATACCATATTTTTTAGACTATAAGGCGCACTTAAAATCCTTGAATTTTCTCAAAAAAAAAAAAAATATATATATATATACACACACACACACACATAAATATGTATATAAACACACTACACTATATATAAACTAAAATAAACAATTACTTACTACTTGTACTACTATTTCTACTTTATGGTGTTTCACTTATTGCGGGGCTTCATTATACGCAATAAACGAGGGATTACTGTAATTCAAAAAGTACAAAAGTCACAAAAACCAAAAGTTACAGCTCACTTTTCCCATTGGAGCTGAATGTTTTGCTAATTCAAGATTTACTTATATTTAGTAGTTCGTAGACAAAGCCATCCAGGAGAATGGAAAATGGAGATTCTATCTCAGCTACTATATAATGTATATAATAACAAATTACAATTTTCACACTAAAACAGCCATTATAGAGACAATGACCTACCAAAAAATGAAATTAGGGCATATAAATGCAGTAACCATAGCTAAAGCTAGACACATGTAGCCATGTCTGTTCATGACCAAGAAAAATAATGTACAGTAGTGCTTGAAAGTTTGTGAACCTTTTAGAGTTTTCCATATATGACCTAAAACATCATCAGATTTTCAGACAAGCCCTAAAAGTAGAGAGCAGTAGTAGGACTTGTGTGAAAATCTGATGACGTTTTAGGTCATATTTATACAGAAATATGGAAAATTCTACAGAGTTCACAAACTTTCAAGCACCACTGTATTTTTGAGTGTTGGATCAATCAATAAAGTTGAAATCCGACTGATTCTGGTCACCTGCTGAGCAAGCAGTTCATTCTTATAAATTATGTTGAAAGTGTTTTGACGTACTGGGCGTGAGGACGACGACCGACAGGGTGATGAGTGAGCAGACAACCACGATCACCAGCAGGGAGATGGCGATGCCCTTCCAGTTTCTCTGCGGGGGGCTGACATCCACAAACTCCTGCAAACACGTTCACAAGTTGTTAAAACACACAAAAAACAAAATGGAACCATCAAACTGAGAGTCTTGTCAATGCTTGTTCTGTGGTTTATTACATTCATTCAACCTTTATTTAGACAGGTTAGTCTGATTGAGCATGGAGGACTCATTTACAAGAGAGACCTGATTTTAACAAAGCGTGATGACAACAGTGATGGACACAGTGATGGACACAGTTATAGACACATTGGTGAACACACTGGTGGACACAAACACACTGGTGGACACACTGGTGGACACAGTGATTGACACAATGATGGAATCAGTGATGGACACACTGGTGGACACACTGGTGGACACAGTGTTGGACACACTGGTAGACACAGTGTTGGACACAGCGGTGGACACAGTGGTGGACACAGTGTTGGACACACTGGTAGACACAGTGATGGACACAGTGGTGGACACAGTGTTGGACACACTGGTAGACACAGTGGTGGACACAGTGGTGGACACAGTGTTGGACACACTGGTAGACACAGTGATGGACACAGTGGTGGACACAGTGTTGGACACAGTGTTGGACACACTGGTAGACACAGTGATGGACACAGTGTTGGACACACTGGTAGACACAGTGATGGACACAGTGTTGGACACACTGGTAGACACAGTTATGGACACAGTTGTGGACACAGTGGTGGACACAGTGGTGGACACAGTGTTGGACACACTGGTAGACACAGTGGTGGACACAGTGGTGGACACAGTGGTGGACACAGTGATGGACACAGTGGTGGACACAGTGTTGGACACACTGGTAGA